GAAGAATATTCAACATATACAAATGTTTTTAAGTGTAAATATAGGTATGTATGCAAGTATGTACATATGTGCGCGGCATATTAATAAGCGATTGCTATCGCTAGCTGCATGAAGGTATGTTATATGTGCCTATATATATACATATATTCTTGCCACTTATAATTTTTGCTGCCACAACTCACACACACAATCAAATATTTAACTCTGCATAAGTATACCGTATGCAAAGATTGCGTGCATTTATTTGAGTGAATTCAGAATTTTTCTGCATAAAGCACTTCGCTACAGATTTCCACATGCATAAGTATGTCTGTATGAGTATGACTGTACGCATGCAACATGCGTGAAACTACAATTTATTGTTTCACTCATTTCTTCGTCTATTTCGCCATTCAATTACAAACTCCACTTGTTTTAGCAACTGTAAAGGAGACTCCACACATTTTATACTTCTTTATGCAAGGAGTTGCACTTTGAAATGTGTGTGTATGTATTCGTATGTGTAAAGTCCTAGCAACGTGCGTACATTTGCATGTAATTAGTACCTGTATGCACGCGTACAGCTATGCAAATGGGTACAACAAAGAAAGTTGTCGGTATGCAAAAATCGCAAGACTACATGCCACACCCTGTAGAAAAAAGTTTGACTAGCAACGGTTTAACGGTAGTCTGTTAATTTCAAAATAGAGCTAAAAAAATACATAACGTTTCCATTTTCTCTTTCTGAGAGTAAAGAAAAAGGATTAAACTTTTATATTCAAATTTTAATACAAAATTACGTCTAATCTTCGAAAACACAAACTTTTCTAACTTCTGTTCACTGTTGAAAACTTCTAGACTCTTCTAACCCCTTTAAGGAAAATGATCAAATCTTGACTTATGTTTATATGTATAAATACAAATCTATTGCTTATGCTCGATGATTCCGAATTCAGCTAAGTAACTTCAAAGTCCTAAAAAATAAACATAGTCTATTGGTTACATTCAGTTACCACCTCATCTTTATCTATCTGAAAGTTAAAACAACACATGTAGACATCTAATTATACTGATTAAATTTCTCGCTGTTTATCTCTAGTGCACCTATCTATATGCACTTACGCCACATGCATGTTCGATTCGTCACTTTCAAAAATTTACAATTTGAATATGTATATACATTTAAGCGGTAATTTCTTATATGGTACAATATATGTGGATATAATATATAACTATGCATATTAGTCTAAACTCACATCTTTCTAGGCAGACAAAAAAAAAAAACAAAAAACCAAGTCGCTTCCCGAAATAATTAGCACTATTCACTTTGGGTTACTGCTGGCGCAATAAACAAACCTTCAAAGCATATATAAGTATATCTTTCTTCTATAAATTTCCTTTAAGCTGCTCGCTAACAGCCCCCTTTCTCTCTTCATACACGCTCATATAACCGTAAACTATGGCAGGCACAAGCAGACATTCAGACATTAAATTGTAACGGTAGTGGTGGTGGTAGCAAGTGGCACATTGGCGCAGTTTTGGATTTGTGCGCCTTTATTAACTTTGCCGCAGCGCCGGCAACAGGAAGTGGGTACGACGCTCGTAGTTAAGCGAAAGCACATACCTACATATGAACACATACAAAATATAACATGGTACATTAAGTTGTTGTGTGTGCAGATTGCCATGCACGCATCAGTTCATACATACATACATAATTATAAGTGCTTGTGTTAGCATTTCCATTTTTATAGCAGACGCACGTGCACAAATTAACATTTCCGGTAATTTTGGATGTACCAAACCCCAAAAATATATTGGGCTGTCCAATAGAAATAATATGACTTCTAAGTGTCATGATCTGTATTGAGTAATGTTTACAATTTCATCAGGGAAATATATTCACAAAATAACTTTTACAAATGATTCCATTTTATTATCCAAACAATCGTTCTCCAATTCCATTTTATGGTCGTAATAATCGTCCACCTAGCTCGCTATTCGTGCGGTAAATAAGCAAAACTGTCTATTCTGGTGCGAAGAAAATCCACTAATTAGTTATGAAAAATTGACCGTTTGGTGTGGTTTTTGGTCTGATGGAATCATCGGTCTCTACTTCTTTCGAAATGAAGCTACTGTCAATGGAGAGCGATATAGATAGATGATAACTAACTTTTTCTGGTCGCAATTGGAAGAAGTTGATCTTGACAACATTTGGTTATAAAAACACGTGGTTAGGTGCCACACAGCGCGTGCAGCAACCGAATTATTGCGTGAAAAGTTTGGAGATTCGATAATTTCTAGAAATTGTGACATTGAATGGCCTCCAAGAAGTTGTGATTTAACACCATTAGACTACTTCTTGTGTGGTTATTTGTAGTCATTGGTCTTTAGCAATTAACCAGACTGCATATGTAGGTATGCGTAGGTATCGGTTTATTATTCATGTAAGATTTTGTCAGCAGTGTAGTAAATAAAAAAGTTGCTTGTATATATATATTCACAAGGAGCGTTGACATCAAAAGGAATACTAAGACCCATTCTTTGATTTCTGTCTTAGTTATTCTTTAAAAACTATGACTTTATATATAATATATTTTAAATGAAACACCTAAACGTATTATTAAATATAATTAATAGTAATATCGGTTTAAACGCTTAGTATAATACAAACTTATTTGCCCTTAATTACCACCTATTTAGACTCTAAGTAAATATTTTTTCTACCTTACAGAGTTTATTATGTCACTCAGGTTTTGAACACGTCTTTTTCTCCCAAAGAAGCTATTCCTTTATCAGAACCGCCGTCATCGCACCACAATAGCATATTGCTGTCATACAAACTGATCGATCGAAATCAAATTTTTGTGTGGAAATCTTTTTTATTTGACAAGATATAACGAACTTTTCGGTTTTGGTTTGGTTAAAACACCTATCATTGCGGCCATGTAAACTTTGCTTAGAGCTAGTAGTTTCATGTACCTCTTGCGTTCCACTCTCGGCCAGAAGACTCCTCACAAGTGATCTACTCGTTCGAGCGAGATTTAGTTAAGGGTGCTCCTTTTAGCGAGCTCATCGGTTTTGCCGTTTTCGGCCATTCCGCTATGGCCAGACGCCTAGACCAGTTTTATATGGAAGTAGCTTGATGTCACAGCTAGTGCGGTAATGCAACCCTTTACTAGATTTGAGCTCACTGTCAGCGAGCTCATGGCCTGGATAGCAGCTCAGCTGTAGGAGGGGATGCATACCTATGTATTTATATCTGCTGACAAATAAAACCAGTTCAAATTTAATTGGATTGATAGGCCGCTTCTTTCTGCCCAGCTAGCTACCATATTGCGTTACCCTTATGTCAGCTCATAAACGGAATCGAGAAGTTTTCCTTTGACCATGAGACCAACATCATCTGCATAGGAAATTACCCGACAGCCTCGTCCCTTGAGTTCTTTCAATAGGTCACCCAGAGTAAAGGAGACAGAACCTCACCTTGCGGGGTGCCTCTATTAACCTTTCGTAGTGCACGAGCACTGCCCCACTCCGCCACGACAGTTTTGTCGCAGAGAAGAGAATATATGCGATGCTTGGGGTTCAATTCGACCTCAAACCTCTCCAAAGCACTAATGACCGCTTCCGGCCACACATTATTCAATGCTCCCTCAATGTCGATAAATGTCCCCACCGCATATTCCGTTTGCATGAGGGCCCCCTCTTGTCTTATATAGCGTCCAATCGTCGCTAGAGCCGCCAGTACATAGTCATAGCGAAATTCTTTATATACAGACTGCCTAAATATTCATTAAAATCACCGCTGTTCAGTTTATAATAACTTATCCGTTTTTAAGATACACAAAATTACCAACATAATAATAAATTAAGTATTTTCATGCTCAATATCTTAATTTGCAATATGCTGACATCTGCGCGGAGAAATATTAACCAAAAACTGACGTTCATATCTTGCTTAAGAAAATAACGAATATTTCTTATTTAAATTTAAATATGCGTTAAAAAGTGATTGCGCTTGCTCGCTGATAGAAAACTCGCATAAAGTTGTATTTTTATTATGCAAAGCTAAGAATTGAGATTGAAAGCAGTTGAAATGGTCATGCAGAATCCTTTTTTTTCGGCAGAGTTGCTTATAACTTTTATGGAGCAGCAGCCAAATACCGGCGCTTTAGAAGAAAAACCTTCTTTTTGCCGCACTTAACCCGTTCACTTCGCCATACTTTTCTTCGACTCTTCTGCGACTTTATTATGTCTGCGCATTGTTGTTTTGTTTGTTTTCTATTTAGTGACCCTATTTCAAGTGCTGCGACAAATGCTTTAACATTCACATTTACGTTAACAATTTACGACAGAAACTGAGATGAAAAAGAAAAAGGTATAAACAACAATTCTCTGTCGGCTGTGTTGTGTGCAACTAAGAGGGCCAACAAAAATTATCGGTTACTATTTTAAAGCGATTTACATTGATTTAATAAAATTGCTTAACTTTCTTTGGAGCGTCAGTGAATGTAAGCATTTCATTTTTATACAAATACGCACACATACAAACATAAATTATTATACATTTAAAATAAGACAAGGCACGCCCACATGTTGGCGTACATAGCAGTCAAGCGACTCGTGTCACTGTACGTTTCACAGCTGCTCGAGTTACTCGCATTCATTCGCATTCACTTCGGCAGCGTTGCCATTTACATTGTCTTCTCAACTTTTTCGCTTTTCTCAGCCATTTGTCGTTCCCAATTTACAGTTGAAGATTGTTTTATGCAAATTACTTAACATTTGTATAAAATGTATGCCGAAAGTTTTCATCCCTCCATTATGTCAATTGTTTGGGCGAGGGGGTGTAAATGGAAAGAATTTTCTGTGAACTTTTTTTGTGCTGTATAATTTTACATTTTTTTTTACCGTATTGTTACAAGTATACATCCTTATGTTCATATAGATATCTCAGATTTTGGTTCAAATGAAATCCATAACTTACGTAAAGTTTCGATGTTTTTTTTTTCTTACAGAACAATTTCATATTTTCGTCGGCGATTTGAGCTCCGAAATCGAAACTCAGCAATTACGTGAAGCTTTTACTCCATTCGGTGAAATTTCGTAAGTATAAATATCATATTTCTTGTATTTCGAATAATTTAAATATTTCATTATATTCAATATTAATATTAAACAGAATTTTTATTGATTATAGTGTTATGGTCTTGTATATCTTCATCCTGTCTGATATTAGTAGGGCGCAATTTTTATTCGAGAGCTGATGGTTTATTAAATTTTCTCAGATCAACGACAACGTTTTCATATGACTCTACTGATATTTGAGAACGCTATTCTTATGGTTCATTGTGAGGGTGTGGCTTTTATTGAGATTGTAGTATCTAAAAATCTTAATTAGTTTTTAAGAATGATACCCACTTCTAAGTCCTGATCTAGATAAAAGGTTCTATTACTTTTGTAATTAAAGGTATTCTTTCAATCAGTACGTTTTTTTTTCTTACTAAAATCTCTTTAAAATAAGACAATAGCTTCAGTGGTTATTTATTTTGCAAATTTTTTGAGTTTATTATAAAGGAGTTTGAGTTTCTAAAAAAATAAATATATATATTAACCGATTTTTCTAGATGAAAAATACAACTACAACAAAATTAGTTTTGATGATCTGAAAAAGTACATACAATTTTTCTTAGCTCTTGGAGAGATCTCAACTCTAAGCAAAATAATGTCTAGCCCTCATCAAAATAATTTATAATTTGAAATTCAAGTTTTTTTCTATCTATCCTCGAATTTATAATTATCAATGGTGAGATACATTTCCTGAGGCAAATCCGAGTCAATAAAAGGAGATTACCTTAACTTCCTCCTTTGGAAGGTTGTTGCCTCTATTTTTGTGGTGTATTCTACTCGGCTTCCAACTAAGTAACTATCTGTCAAAAATCCTTAAGAAATTTAGAGTTTCGTAATCCTATTTTTATCTACCAAAGCTACATGTATAACCTCTTTCCCTAAGCTCAAGTCCTTAAATATTCACAAGCCAAAAAATTCGGATAATCCCAATAACTTAAATATTAAGTTAAACATATGGCATTTACCACTTCCAGTAAGAGGATTTGCAACCAACATATATATAAACATAAATAGTTATATACACGAGTAAATCTGACTACTGTTAGTGCCAACCCGGCAAACGCTTGACTTGTGTTTGTTTGTCGAATATTTAACGCGGATTTGCCTGTCAACAGCAGACAGGCAGCGAGCTGCTTCTTCAGCAGCAACACTACTACTGTGTAGATGACAAAAGCAAATACAGTGGTTTACATTGGCGACACCTTGCCTTGCCGAGAAGAATAGTTAGTAGTGTTGCTGACGGCTGGTACGGAGTAAGCACGACACGCCGCCACACACAAGCTTAGCACAAAAATCCATTTGACAAGCGGCAACTATAACGGTGCGCCTAAAAATTCGCAACTACTCACTATTACTTCGGTACTTAACTGTTCATACGTAGTTGCTGTTATGTGTTTGCCGAAAGAATGGAGACGGCTGGTTGACATTTGAAGCGATTTCGCAACAAGACTATGAATGTAAATGATATGTGTAGAGTTTGGTCGGCGAAATGTGAATTGTGTGGGACAGTAAATAAGAGATTTAGTGAAAATAAACATATTTTCTATAAGCGAGCGTGAGCTGGATACAAGGAAATATGGAAGGCAAAGTAGTTGAAAGCGAGGAAAAATTACAATTTTGACGAACATACATTAGTTGTCATCAGTTTGTATGTAACTAAACTTTAAAAATTAATTTCGACTTGAGAAAACTAGTATTTTTTTTAAAGAAAGCAGTTTGAGCCTAGGTGTAGTTTCTTTGTTCATGGATTAAGTTCCACCAATAATAGTAATAGCTTTAACTAATCAGTGGTTTTCCAGCATATCGAAAATACTTCATCTCCGTAAAAAATTTAAGAGAAACTATTGCTCTGCCTATCTCAAAAAGCAACAATGGGAAATTGTCTCAAAATGGATCCGCAATGCAAATAAATCAGGTCGAAAGAAGCATTGCAAAATTTATCAAAGCATATTATCACGGCTTTTCACTAATGAAATATATACAAGTATATAAATGATCAGAATAATGAGCTGAGTTGATTTAGCCATGTCCGTCTGTCTGTCCGTTCATCTGTATATGCGCGAACTAGTCCCTCCGTTTTTAAGCTATCGTTGAAATTTTGCACCTGTCTTTTCCTTACTAAGAAGCTGCTCATTTCTTGGAACCCCAGATAACATACTTTTCCAACGCATTAAGTCCGAAATTAATTACGATTTTCTAATACAAATTTTTTATGTTTTATGTTTAAAATTTTGATGTTAGAGGATATTAATGTATTATATTGGATGGTTCAAATATTCCATTCCGTTTTGTTCATAAACTTGTTACCAACGAGATGCCAACTTCATTATACCCCTCTCGGAGAGCCAATTTTCACAGGCCTCTCTTGAGGCAAACTTCTCAACATTAAGCGCGTTCGCCATGGACAGGAAAAGGTGGTAATCACTTGGTGCCAGGTCCGGACTATAAGGTGGGTGCATTACGACCTCCCATCCGAGCTCTCGGAGCTTCTGGCGCGTCACCAAAGACGTGTGTGACCTGGCGTTGTGACCCATTTTTCATCGCCAGTCACAATCTGCTTCAGAAACGGGTCGATTTTGTTGCGATCTTGCAGCGATTTGCAGATGGAAATTCGGTCCATCGAGCTTCTTTTTGAATCTAAGGTTATGCAAATGGTTCTAAACGGTTTTCTGGCTTATCTTTAGTTTCTCAACAATTAAATAAGTGCTCACGTGACGGTCTGTTTCCACTATTTCCATGATTTTATCGCAATTTTCGGCGACAGGCCTCCCGACGCGTGGTGCATCTTTGGCATCGAAATTACCGGAACGGAACCTAGCAAATCACTTTTGTGCTACACGTTCATTTACAGTATCGAGCCCATAAACTAAATTAATGTTTTCAGCCGCTTTGACTGCTTTTTCGCTTTGATCGAAGAAAAATTTTAAAATATAGCAAATTTTCTCTTTGTTGGTGTCCATCTTTGACGACCGCTCACAACGAACTGAGTAAATCAATCGAAAAACTGTCAAAGACAAACTTTTAGCGCGAGTAAACACGTTTTCAGCGCCGTATAGTATGACATGATGTGACACGTAAAACTAGTACTATGGAATATAACGCCATCTCTTAGATAAAAACCGAACGAACTTTTTACTTTACCTAATATAAGATAAATTATTTTTACCTACTTAACATATTCTTGTTTCGCTGTAGTTGATATAATTTAACAAATAACAAAATTTAATTGATAACCACATGTGACCCTTCAGAGAGCAACTAGTAATAATTCCAATACAATTAAATATATTATATGTGTATGTGCGCTCATATATGGGGAGATCATCAAAAATCAACTGTTATGTTTTTAACAAAAAAACTGGAACTTTGGACGGATGCAATAAAAAAGTTTCGAACAACTAACTAAATAAAAATTAGACTAAATAATTTTGTAAAATTGGACAAGCAACCATAAATAATACAAAATAGAAATTAAAAGTTAAATAAATTAGCGAAACTAAATATAAGCCACAAAGTTGGCAGCGAATATGATATGGAAATTGTGAAATGTGTGTTTGTTTAACTTCAATTCCCCTTGTTGCCGTAGCACCCCATTATACATCTCTCCAGCGCTTAAATTATTTTAATGTACGCTGACTGCTTTATTTAACGAGTTTTTGCAGCGTACTTATTATAACTACCTACATAGGTAGAATTATACATATTTTTTGTATATTTAAAACTTCGAGGCACTCATATATATTTAAATATTGTAGGCCACAAGGTAAGCGCGAAATGTACTCAACTCGCAGCTTTGGCGCTAGAGATAAGATGTCTATTATTCCCTTCTGCCTTGGCATAATTGTTCTGTTAAATTTATGGTCTATATCTATGGAGGAAAGGCGTGAGACGCAGTTTGTAGCATCTTTACCTAGTTCTTTTATAAAAGGAACATGCCAATTGGCCAGCAAAGAAATGGAGAAATATTTTGTGAACAGCGGAATAAAAGATGATTCTATTTGGTGGCACTGGGTCTAGGTCCGTTGTCTGCGAAATACTGAATATAGTCCGAAATATATTGTGAAAACCGTCAAATATACTGGTGCAACAGTAATTATACAAGGTGCATTTCAAAGTATACAGGACCTTTAAAAAAAAGTCAGAACAAATGGTTTTATCGGAAAAATCAATTAATTTTATTCAAAATAGTCTCCTTCTGCTTTAATACAGCTTTTTGCACGGTCCAAAATCACGTCGAACGAGTGTTTTAGCTCGTTGCCCGGTATGGCCGCCAGTATGCCGGTGCAAGTCTTTTGAATGGCCTCCACGTCTGCATAACGCTTTCCTTTCATCGGAAAATGCATTTTTCCGAAAAGGTAGAAGTCGCACGGTGCCATATCAGGTGAATACGGGGAATGGCTGATTGTTAAAATGTGATTTTTGGCCACAAGCGCCGATCGATGAGACGGCGCATTATCGTGCAACAAACGCCAACCTCCATCTTCGCAATATTCGGGCCGAACACGTCGAATTCGGCGCACCAAACGCTTCAAAACTCCAAGGTAGAATACCGCATTAACGTTTTGGCCGGGTGGAATAAATTCTTTGTGAACAATATCCTTGGAATCATAAAAACAAATCAGCATTGTCTTCACTTTTGACTGCTCCAGGCGCGATTTTTTGGGTTTCGGCTCATTTCTCATTTATGTCCTCACGACCACTTTGAAAACGTTGAAACCACTCGTGCACTCTGCTACGGGATAGGCAATCATCCCCATAATTTTGTTTCATCAATTGAAACGTTGCGGTAAAAGTTTTACCAATTTTAAAATAAAATTTAATGTTGGCTTTTTGTTCGAATCTCATTTTCGCACCGATGACAAAAACATACTGACACCTCAAACGCAATAACTTCACTTCCAATAGATGAAATGTCATGGAATTTTTTCTGGAAGTCGATAAAAGATAGCAGATTCTAACGCACTAGTCGACATATAGACGGCGCTACTAGAGTTTACTTCGTTACTTTTTTACTGTTTACTTTGGAACGCACCTTGTATGGAGTAGTTCCGCGTAAAAGAGCGTTGGACCAATAAATTGTTGCTGATCGTAGACCATCAAACAAAAGGGAATTATGGGGCACAGCTCACGAGAAATGGCAACAAATTGAGGGAAAATAACTTATATACTAATAATAATTTGCTTTTCTTTTGCACTCACTCCCTTTGTTTTGAACACGGAATTATTGAGGTTTTTATTAAAATCATTTTAATTTCTTGCTTCACTTAGTAATAATAAAATTTTGAAATGCATAAAGAGATTGCATAAAATGAATAATTTGTGGATAAAAACTCAATGAATAAAATGTTAGTATTTTTTTATTTTATGTTGTGACCACTTTTATTATACTGAACATAGTTGGAAGGCACAACTAAATACTTTGGATTTGATTAGAGACCATTAAGCAGCACCGAATAGTTATTAAACTGTAGACTCCTGTGGAGTTAGTTTAACTTAACTTGTGAAGACCAATATATTGTGCTAAAAAATGTCTCACTTGATATCTTCAAATCGATAATATTGTAACTTCGTAAGAAAATTTAGAAATTAAAGTCATCTAAAGTTATCAAACCCACTAAGTCGACTCTACTATAGTCAAGGATAAGAAATACATATTACTTTAGTTTTGATGGAAGTCTATAAAAAAGGGGTGAAAAATTCGAATATTAATATATTTTTATTTATAAGCCATAAAATCTATACTCCTTCAGTGAAAGGGGTCACAGTTTTACTTCATATACAATATACGAATTACCTTAAGTGTGTATACTTTTATGTAATACGAGTATATACCTACATACATATATATAAATAACAAAAAATGTATATGTAAATATTACAGTGATTTATTTAAGCATAACTTTCTCTTAAGCAATGCCAATGAGTTCATACATTAGTTTTATTTTAATTAAATTGCCACCCATTTCCAAACCCCAATGCCCTTCACACCCTGCATAGAAGTATTTATATTAAAACATCGTGACTATAAATGAATTATATGAACCTCAAGTTTACTAACCCGATAATACATACTAACATACATTTTAACTTCCATTTATATTATTGCAGTGATTGCCGCGTCGTACGCGATCCACAAACATTGAAATCCAAGGGTTATGGATTTGTGTCATTTGTCAAAAAATCGGTGAGTCAGCTTTTGCATTTCATTACTGCTTGAAAGTTATTATTAACTTCAATTCATTAGATTTTAATATAACCCGAAAACTTTTGACAACTTTTTCATCTTAATTAAAAAGTATGCCACACTAATTTCCCCGCCGCATAACCAATATCCGCTACACTACGAACCTACGTACCTACAATCCTACAAACATACATTCTGGCATTTCTAATAATACCATTTTTTGCATATTTCTCTCATTATCCTGACTGTGCTGCTCAACAGGAAGCTGAAAGCGCCATCACTGCTATGAATGGACAATGGCTGGGCTCGCGTTCGATTCGAACGAATTGGGCTACACGAAAACCGCCGGCGAGTAAAGGTGAGTGTGCATGCTAGTATGAGTTGTGGAAAAATATGAAATTTTTTTATTGTTTGGTCAGTATTATTCATAAATAATGACGGGCTTAATTTGGACATGAACTCCAAGGTTTTTTGTTGTCTCGCCTGAGCTTATAAGCTTTTGTATGTAAAACTAGGTAACCCAAAGCGGCATTTCAGTCAATTGGAATTTAGAGATGGTCTCTATGCTACGTTACATATATTATATTTACTTAAGATCTTTACTAAAATCTTTTAAAGGCTAAAGAAAATAAAATTATAAAACAAAGGCTCTGGTCTACAATATGCTCAAAGACTGAGATTTGATATCCTACTTCTTTTTGTTAGTTTTTATTCTGGTCCAGCAACACGTGACCTTGTCTTCCTAAAATGTTATCTGTCGTAACAAACTTATGAATAAGATATAGGCTATGAAATTTTGTGTCTGAAAATATTAAATGAAGTATTTTTCGTGAGCCTGGTAGTGAAAAATATTCCTTATGTGACCATCGGTACTTATCTCTCTTGTTTTCTACTGTAAGGCAACTGATTCATAAATTCATCATGCCGTGAACTTGTGAAGCATCTTTCTCTCGCTCTCTCTCTTCTTTTCTACGAGTATTAAGGGTCAATTGTCACTAAAACTGGAATCTGGAATCAGCTTAAGTCGCACACGTGCTTCCATTTATTTATATATTCACCCAAAAATACCTATAAATTATTTATGTAGCCACATACACTCATATGTTTACTCACGTAACTACGTGTCTTAAGTGCGTAGACACATTTATTTATTTTATAAATGTCACTGAGAGCAAAGGACAACGAAAAGACAACAAAGGCAGAAAAATTGGTAAATATGTTAAAACATGCAAATATGCTTATTAGCTTTGATTAACAACATAATTTTGATTCACTCATTTCCACTCTCGCGCGTCCGCTACAGTTCCCAGTTCGTTCGCCGCTTCACGACGAAATCATTTGCATATTCATTGCCCTGATTTGCTGATATCCACGCAGTTCGCCTACTCTTTGCCACCACCGTCTGTCAGAACTGCCGCTCATTTCTTCTAAATTGCGCTCATATTTATTGCGTGTGTTCTGTGCTTAACTGCTCATTATGCTTCAACCTAGTTTTTTATTTGTGAAACTTCATATTTGGCTTTTTCATATGTAAATAATTCTTAAGAAATTGTTATTTCAACGCGTCGCAAGGCGATTATTATCAATTTGTCAATGGTTTGCGTGTCGCTGCTTCTCAACGGAAGTTTCTTTTACAACTACTTGTGCATTTTTTGTCTCCCTGTATTTGTTTTAGTTGGTACTAGGAGGTGTTTTGACGCTGTCGTATAATACAATAAAAGAATATACATACGTACAAAATTTATTTAGAAACGTATTAATTTGATAATATTGCTAAAAGGCAGTTTAAGATAATATATTGTACTTATCATCGCTCGACACTTGCATATTTTCAATCCATGTAATAAGGCTCTCTTCTGTGCTTTATCAATTTAAAAGTAGCTATATACGCCATGCGAATTGCGTTAATTTGGTGTAACTAATTTATTAGTTTGAAACTCAGAATTATATATTTAATTAAATAGTTTAACAGTAATACGTTTCTAAAAAAGCAGCATCAGTTTGGAAATCACAAAATCCGTTCATGATTAGTACCCTGTTAGCACTAGTAGAAAAGCTATAATTTTCTTTCGAGTGGTATCGCTAAGCAGTTAGTAGTGAACTTACAAATTTTTTTCTGTGGTTTACCAACTTAATTAAGTTATCAACGAATGTTGTTGGTTGCATATAGTAAGCACGATTACAAAATTTCATAGCTTTATAAATAACAGTTGGGCTGACAATTTTCATAGAGTTTTAGAGAGATACTTTTCATCAAACTCCATTCTTTTTATTAACTCATACAAATTAGTTAAATTATTAACTAATATAAATTAGTTAAATTATTAACTAGTATAAAAAATAATTATTTGAAAATTTGAAGAATTCATTTATACATATGTAGCTTAGGAATACACAGTAAAATTTTTGAGGAAAAATATTTAATATTTTTCGATGATGGCGCTAATAAACAAAAGTCTTCCACTGTTGCAGTAAATTCAGTCTCTCGGCTAATGAAACCTAACAAAAAAATTGTCAGTAACAGATATTTTCTGTCCAAAAAAGGAAAGTAAAATTTTACCCTAAATCTTTGTCATATCTGGTCTGCCTTAATTCGGTTTCCAATCAGAAAGACTTTCATAGTTAATAATACTTTGATGAGATAATTTTTTTTCGAGTAATCATTCAAACAAAATCGAAAAATGAAGTTTTGAGAAAAGCGCGTTTTAAGATAAGCTGATGGAACTTATTCAACTGTGCGACTACACTTTAGAGGCCAGTAACTCAAAATCTACTTGAGATGTCGACTTTAAATTTTAGTGTGTTATTTTTATTGTTACGACTTATGAAAAATGGAAAATAATAGATTTTTTTATATTTTTTACTACGGGCACATCTACCCCTTTATTAAGTTGCTATCCATAACGCTCACTTTTCAACTTTTTGATATAATTTTTGATGACAAGGTTTTCGCAGATTCGACGATTATCTCTTCACCATCGGTAAAGTTTTGTCCAACAATCAATCTCCGGGAACAGCAAAACATTCCAAAAGCCACATTCAGACGATATAGTGGATAATGGAGCAATTCGAAACAATTTTGCAACCGCGTTCATTGATGTAAAGCATAGTGCATTGCCTGATTAGCAGTCCTCGCGGCACTGTTTTTGTAAGGAACTTTAGTCCGATTGCGACGATCAGCAATACCAACCGTCTTACCGTACCAGGAAACATGTGTATCAAGTTTAGTTTTTACTTGAGTAACAGCTTGCACAGACGGACCGATGGACGAGCGAACAGACAGTCACCCGGATGTCAACTCGTCTCTTCAACCTGATCATATATATATGTATATATAACGCTATATTTAACTCGATTAGTTTTAGGTGATACAAGCAACCGTTACCGATTGCCTCTTAGGTGTCCACAGATTTCTATATGAACTTTAGTAAGCCACTACGTGCTTGCATCACTCAAAATATTATTATATTTTAATGCGTGTAATTTCATGATCCAATTGTCAATTGTGCAGTTTTCGCAGGTGTGTTTTAAAGGTAAGGCCAGACTATAAGACACACGGATTCAATACAAATCTCGCCTTCTTGTTGGTATGTTACAACCTGTTCGAAAAGCTTGTAGTTTATATTGACAATTTATTCTTTACTTTCTTATTAGTTTTGCATGAAGTTGAAATTATAATTTTAAATCGGAAAAAATTATTAATTTCAAGAGTATGGAATAATATTCCACTAAAAACATAGAACACATTGGCATATATTGTTTCATATATAAAACTCTTTGCAAAAAGAAATATTTCAGTACAAAGACAAACAAATTGAAAGTTTTTACAACAAAACTTAGATATGCTAATCTATTTAAACATTTTCGAACTATACATAAATGCAAACGACTTGTAAATCATATTTAAAAACGTAAAATACATAAAATATCGAGAGATATCGATTTAAATTGTTTATCGAAGTATTCTTTCTTCTACTTTTTCTTGAGCAATTTTGAACGAGGACTCTTCCACTTAGGTATCTGCCTATAATTAATGGAGTTTTTCTACTAGCCGATTTGAAACTAAGGGTGCTGGATTCACTTATTGAACCAAATATGTTTTTGTAATGACATCCATTCCAAATGCAGGTTGATATTCACACCGTATAAACGGTCAAGTCACAGAATGAGCATATTACTTTAATAGTAGCGCAAAAATAAATATGGTTATTTAAATGCATTGAAAAACCAATCGAAACAAATAGACACAAAAAAAACTCTGCCACTTTATAATTTAAATAAAAATGCAAACACAGCTGCCATAATAAAAAAAAATCGAACCGCATCGTTGCTGTCAGCAAATTTGTCAAGCACTGCCAGCAATTACCTTTTACAGCGTTCGTTTGCCTGCTAAACATTTAAATTTTATAAGCCTTAACTTATTTTATTGGCCATTTGTACATTATGCAATGCCTAATATTGACTGACGTTTAAGTGTAGACAAATGTGCCAGTTTGACTTGATAGTTTTCGTTGTCCCCGTCATGTTTTTTTGTTAATTTTTATTATTATTTTTGATTTCTCTTTTTTTTTTTTTTGATTTTTATTCCACTTCCACTTTATTTATAATATTTTTTTTTTCGACACTTTGCTTACCTCTTTGAACTATTTTATGCTAAAGCTTTCGTTCCGGGGGTACAGTTTTCAGATGACAATTGTGACAGCTAGATTTTATGACACCTACAGCTTAGTTGAAGGCGAAATGTAGTGAATAAATAAAAGCAATAAATGAAGATGAAATTTTTTATTTATATAGATAAAAAAAAAATATCGTTAGTCGCAGCTTATGGCCACTTTAGTGTGTAAACGTTGCACTTAAATGCAAACTACTGTTAAATTTCGATAGCGGTACTCGTACACAGGCATACAGAAATAACTGTGCTAGTCTTTTACCATGGCTCAGCTTATAAATTTTACTCTATATTTTCCACTTTAGTGATAGGGCATCTCAATTTATTAGCTGAGACACTCGAAGTTGCTGTGTTTTACTTTTATTACTTCTTCTTTATTTGAACTTTCTTGATTTTTCTACAAAGTTTTACGACTTTGCTGCTATGCTCCTTACTTTGTTATTGCTTGCAAGTCGCTTAATAAACTTTTTTATTTATGTATACCCCTTTCATTTGCGCACTTTCCTTCTTTGTGGTTGTTGTACTTGTTGTTTTGAAATTTAGTGCCCCCCTTACTGACGCAAAGTCGCCAAATGTCAAGCGCAGTCGTAAATTCTCAAATATCTTTCAGTCAAATCAAAAATAACAACAACAACATCAAAACTATATAAAGCCCAACGCTTTCAACGCTTTATTACGCTTCACAAATT